AATCTCCGGTCAGAGAACATGCCTGGGATTTGGACTTGATCTCCTGTGGGAGGCGTACAGGAGGCAGCCGATAGATGTTTCTCTCTCACATCAATGTTTCTGTCTCTCTCTCCCTTTCTCTCTCTGTAAAAAAAATCAATAAAAAACACTAAAAAAACAAACAAACAAACAAACAAAAATGCCTTCAAACACTGTAATTTCTAGTCTAGAATTCTCTACCCTGGCCAAAATGTCCATCTAACCTCTGGATATAATAAAGGCATTTTCAGACATGCAAGGTCACAAAAGTTTTACTTCTCATGCAACATTTTCCAGGACTTACAAGGAGGGACAGGTATGCCAAGGAAGACTTGAGATGTACTAAGGAGGTCAGCGAGAGAGACACTGAAGCCAACAGGGAAGCCCCAGTTTGACAGCTGGGTCAGATCTGGACAGCATAAAGTCTAAATTAAAAGAGAGAATCCGGGGTGCCAAAACATGTCTTCAAGAAAAAAATTAAATGAATAGAAAACCTACTGTGTCCAGCATATGACAAGTTTTACGTACTACCAGACTAGCTCAGGTTGAATTAGTGATATATTGGGGAATATATACAAATACGATAATAAACAAACAAAGAATGAAGCAATAATTAACTTCAGGGACAACATAAATAACAAAGAGAATGTAATCACAATGGGCTGCATGGCTCCCCTGCAAATAATCCTTACACAGCCATGAAATTCAAACCCAGGAGAGTGCTTAAAAAGTAGCCTTATTGTTAACACCAAGGGACAAAATGGGTCTGGGGTGGGATGGCAGAATGATGATCTTGAGCTAAATCATCTCCATATGAGAAGTCAATTAAAAAAATTAAAAAAAAAGCCAACAATCAAGTCTAGGCGGGAAGAGGGTGCCCGTTGCTGAGGGAAAGCTAAAAAGAGTTGGAGGAAGCACCCCAGGGAGCAAGGGGCATGGTGCGAAGTAGGTCAGGAAGACTTTATTTTAAGCATGTTTTCAAGAATCATGCATATGTATAACTTTGCTAACTTAAACTAACCTACAATTTGATTTTTAAAGAAATGTGAATGTGAAGAAAGGAAATGAGACCGTCTGGACCATTCTTCAGAGATGCTGGCTTTGGGAGGGAAGGATCCAGTTAACAGCACCTTCTCCCTCACCCCACCCAGGCAACTTCCAAACAGCTTGCTAGTGCCCATCTCTTAAAGGAGAATGAGAAGCCAACAATCAACAGACATGAGAAAATACTCTAACATGAAATACAAAATTACAAGCAAAGAAAAAAAAAAAGTAGGGAGAAGGATGGGAAGCATTGACTAAGCTGAAGAAACACACAAGAAGAACATGAACAAAAAACTTCTAGTAATATTCTCAGCAAGATAAGAGAAGATACTATATTCATGAATCAAGAACAGAATTCTATTTTTTAAAATGAAGAAAGGAGGAGGGAGGGAAGGGAAGACAGGAAGAAAAAAAGGAAGGCCCAGAAAACAATTCAAGAGCTCTTAAACAATAAATAGCAGCCTTAGAAAAAAAAATAATTAGCCCGGCTGGTGTGGCTCAGTGGTTAAGTGTCGACCCATGCACCAAGAGGTTGCTGGTTTGAGTTCCAGTCAAGGCACATGCCCAGGTTGTGGGCCAAATCCCCAGTGTGGGGCATGCAGGGAGCAGCCAATCAATGTTCTCTCTCATCGATGTTTCTAACTCTCTCCCTTCCTCTCTCTCTAAAATCAATAAAGAAAAAAAATGTTTTCTAAAAAACAATAAATAGCAGCCCACAAATGAAAACCGTAATAGAGGATTTAGAAGACAAGGTTGAGATTATCACCTAGAAAAACAGAAGAAACAACAAATGGAAACTGGGTGAGGGGTGGGGGTAGAAAATTAAAGAATAAACTCATGACATCCAACACCCAAGGAGTTCAGAAAGAAACAAAAAAGAGAGAAAAGAATTCAAGAAAACTTCCCAGAATTATAAAACATTAGTTCAGCTACAAGATCCCACCAAGCACACTGGAGGAAAACAGACCTACAGCAAGGAAAACTTTCAGAACACAAGGACAAAGAGAAGACCCAAGGCGGGAAAGTGTTATCTACAAAAGATCAAGAATTTAAATGACATGAAACTATGACAGCAACATCAGAGGTTGCAACACAATCCAGAGATGCCTCCAGAATTTGAGACTGTAACTTCCAACCTCGAATTCCCTGCCCAGCCACAAACTCGATGAATTGGAAGGGTAGGATAAAGCTATCTTTTGACATGCAAGGTCTCAGAAAATTAATCTCCCACAAGCCCTTTCTCAGAAAATTCTTGAAAGATAAGCTCCACCAGGAGGTGCTAAACCAAGAACGAAGAAGATGTGAAAGCCACCTGCAGAGGCTTCTACCCAAGAAAGAAGCCAAGGAGTCCCAGGGTGGTGGCCAAGGGCCCTCCCAAGGTACAACCAGGCAGCTGGTGCCAAGAGCAGCCACCAGGCCGGATGGAAGTAGGTCAGGGGCCCTGGGAGGGGTGTCTTAAGATGTCCAGAGTGATAGTGAACCTGATGTGCAGCGTTATTGTGAAAGACAGAACAGGGAATCGTGGCAAACAATGCAGGGCAGCTCTGAGCCACATTTGCACGGTACAATACAGTAGGCATGAACTGTGAAGCTAACTCCATGATGCCTGTATGTAGAGGGTGTGGGGATGAGCCGTGTGCATGAGTTAGGACAGAGGTAAAAAGAGAGCCAAGTGATAATGTTAAAACGTAAAAAAACTCAAGACACATCAATGAAAGCAATGTTACTTGGAGTAATAGAAATAAACACCTAAGGAAAAACCAGAGGAGTTGGAAGTGGTCACCCAAGAAATAGGCAACTGGCATGTGTGTGACGGGGGCTGCTCTACCTTTTGTAATATGCCATAGAGAACTATATGATTCTATGTGTATATATGGCTTCAGTAAAAGCAAGAATAAAATGTTTATGTTTTGTAGAAACTCAAGAGTGCTCATCATTCGAGCATATAAAACCATCCACTTAAAAACAAGGATTTTCGCCCTGGCTGGTGTGCTCAGTGCTTAGAGTCTCGGCCCTCAAACAGATTCTAGATCAAGGGCATGTATCTAGGGTGCCGGTTTGATCCCCAGCTCGGTGGGGGTGCATGCAAATGGCAACCAACTGATGTCTCTCTCACATCTGTTTCTCTCTCTCTCTCTCTCTCCCTCCCTCCCTCCCTCCCTCCCTCCCTCCCTCCTTCCTTCCCTTTCTTCCACTCTCTCTCTAAAAATCAATGGAAAAAAATATCCTCGGGTGAGGATCAACAACAAAAAGAAAAATAAGGACTTTCAATTGCACCAGACACACAGGCATCAGCAGGCACCGTGACAGGCAAGAACAAAGCAAAAGACCCTCCGAGTGGGGGTCCTGAAAGCAGAGATCATGCTGTCTTAACCCAGATGCTTAAACCAGAAACACTAGCAGAAAAGAAATAACTGACCTTAGCCGCTGAGAGGATTCAGTGCCTCTAAGGTAACCAAACCAATCATGAACTCAGACAAACACAGGCACCATCCACACTACAGTGCTAGCTAAAAACTGTCTTTTTGCATGCAGGAAAATAATTGCTAGCTCTTTGCAAACAATGGACGGGAAAAGAGTCAGGGAGAGAAAAGCCCATTCAGTCTGATAAAGCTCATCTCTTCATCTCAGGGGTAGATCAGTCCCCACAGTAACACACTGGAGGGCATGTCCCCCTACCCACAGTACCTTCTGTTATCTGAACTTCTGGCACTGATACATCACTGAAGCTGCGAGGTAGTGGGGAATCTGCGGGGATTCACAGGTAACATGAGGATGGAGAGGGCGCTCCACCATGCATGCTGAAGGCAATATGACAAGAGCAAAGTAGCCTGGCTCACAGACAAGTGTCCTCCCCTCCTAGGCCTCTCACTGAGTCTAACAAGAGTTTGATTACCGCTTACAGTGTGGTAAACAAACCAAAAGTCACTATTTATCCTATGCCTCCATGTCTTCATGCATAAAATTGAGATAAAAATTATGGTCCTACTTCTTACAATTGTTTTGAACCCTGAAAGAGAAAACACATATTCTAAGATCAGTGACTGGAAGTGAATTTTAGTTATTTTTCCTACTAGAGCCTCTTTAAAATCGAGTGGCCCTCTGGTGGTGTCTGGCCAACGTTAGAGGGTGGAAGGAACCACTGTTTACTGTATCCGACCGGGGCTTTCAACTTGGTCCTTAGCACCAGCGAGCATCCACCCAGCGTCACGTGCTGAGTCCCCAGCTCTGCAGCCCTCTAACAGGAAAGAAGGTGTAGGGCCAGAGCTGAAACAGCGTAGCACCCAAGAGCCATTTTCCAGCCATTGCTGCCCCTGCACACCGCGCGACAGCCTGAGGATGCGCGCCTTTTGATGAGTGGGTGCCGGAGAAGCGGAGGGGACCCAGCACTTGCCAGGCCCACGCTGTCACCCGCCCAGTTACGCAACAGTGTGCGTAAACAAATGCAAAATAATCCTCAGGGACAGCGCGGCTAGGTCCAGGAGTTCATATAGAAAACAACAGCCCCATTCACAAGACAGAAAGCCTAGCTCCATGGTTCTTAACCTCTTGGGGTCACCTTTGAGAATCTGATGAAAGCTGGGCTCCTCTCTTTTAAAAATGGGCGCTCAGGAATAAACAGATGGGGGGGGGGGGTGTTCATTGGCTCTCTAAGGCCACCTCGGTCCCCGCGGAGACCCGGACCTCGCCAAAGGCACTTCAATTAAGTTCACCGCTGGCTCAAGCTACCAGATCAGGGAAATAAGGGGCGGGGCGGGGGGGGAGGGGTTGACATCTTCTTTATTTTGCCTAGGGAGGGGCAGGGGAGGGGGCGAATTCTCCGTCCAGAAAAAAAAAACAGAAAAGCAGAGAGCTACGAGAAACGGCCAGAGCGGGACAGTTCAGATGCCAAAAGCACACATCCAGTCCTCCGACCAGCCCCACTCCGAGCCCTGTACCTGGCACAGACGTGTCCTCCGTGTCCCCGGCCTCCGCGTCCCGGGCCTCCGCGTCCCCGGCCTCTGCGTCCCCGGCCTTCACGACCTCCGCGACCGGCTCCTCGGGGGACCCGCGGGCCCGCCGTTCCGGCGCCTCCCGCACCGTGGGCTCCGCGGGCGGTGGCGACGAGGCCGGGGCGCACCGGGGCGCGGGGCTCCCAGCGCCCGACGACCCCGACGACCCCGAGTCGTCCGAGGTTCCTGCCGGACCCCAGTCGTCCCAAAGCCAGGGCGCGTGCGCCTGCTCCAGCAGCCGGCGGCCCAGGCGGTAGTGCAGCAGCTCGCGGTAGCACGGCGCGTACTCGTCCCAGCGCGGCTCCCGGTAGCGCTTCATGTACTCGCTCTTCACCCCGCTGCCCGGGGACATGGTGCCGCCCGCCGGCCCCACTGCCCGCCGCTCCGCGCTGCCGCCGCCGCCTACGGGACCCAGGACACGACACAGAGGCCCGCCCTGCCCCTCCGGCCGCCAGGCCCGCCGCGACATTTAAATCCGGAGCCCCGCCCGAACGGGGCAGGCGGAGCGCGGGGAAGAGACGAGCCGGGGCGGGGCGTGCGGCCGGGGGGCGGGGCGGGCGCGGGGAGGCGGAGCGCCGGAAAGAGGCGGAGCGGGGCGGGGCGGGGCGTGGGGCCGAGGAGCCGGGCGTGGGGCCGAGGGGCGGGGCGGGGCGCGGGAGTGGGGACCCGGAGAGGGCGGCCAGCTTCGGGAAAGGGCGGGGCCTTGGAGGCACCTGCTGGCGAGGCGTCTCACTGGGCCACCCGGTGCCTAGAGCCTGGGTGGGGTCCCAGGCAGGCAGCTCCGGGGAGGAGGGCGGAGCGGCCGGGGCTGCGGGGGTGGGGGTCACCTCGGAAGGCCGCCCCGAAGCTTGGAAGCCAGAGGCTGCGGGCCTGCGAGAGGGCCGCGGGAGGCCGGGGTTGGGGGGGGGGAAGATGAGGCCGAGGAGGTGTGAATGCGGGGACGGGGCTGGGGGACCCGGGCAGCCGAGGGGCCTCCGCGTCCTCCGAGCGCCCTCGAGGGAGGGGCTTACCTCCTTGCTGCGCCGGCCCGTCCTCCGCGCGTGGCGCAGCAGCCAGGAACGGCCCGCTGTCCCCCGCGCTTTCCTCTGAGCAAGATGTCGCCGACGGCGCGGCGGCCCGCGTTCCTGCGGCAGCCCGCTGGCGAAGACGCCGCCTCAGTCCCCGGAGCAGACGCCTCCCCCGCGCGCTCCCGGCCCCGCTCCGTGGGGGCGGCAGCTTCAGTGCAGAGCGCGGGGCACGACGATGCCGGCGTGTGGGCCAGCCCGGGGCACCAGACCCAAGTCGCCGTACCTCTGTCCGATTAGGCACCCACCACTGCAGGAGGCGTCACTTAGGGTCTGGAGTTGCTGCCCTGTCCTCGTCCGATAAGCCAGCCAGCGACACTGCGCTCCCTTCCTAACACACCTGCGCTGGTCGCGTTTCCAGAAACAGCCCCAAGCCCACACTTTGGCTCCTGCTTCCTTCCTCTCTGTTCACAACTGTTACTGTGGCTTTAACCCATTTTTACGTTTTAGTATAACGCCTTGTCTACACCCCAAACATATTTAAACTATTCATTCAAACCGCCACACCACCCTCTCAGAGACCCATTTACACATATTAACTTGACATTCTGTTGCATTGTGCAGAGGTATACAATGTTGCTGTAGTTGTTACAGTTTCTAAAGTGGCCCCACACAGATTCTTCCCCCTTTTTTAAAGAAGCCTTGGTACACTAGTTACAAAGAGATTTGAAAGAAAAGAAATTTGGAAAACCGAAAGTATTTAGCAGTTGAAGAGCAAGCCTGGGCTGTGAGTGAGTGGTCCTTCCAGCTTCCATACTGGGATTTCCCCACTTCACCAACTATTCCCCATTCGGTCTGAGTCCTGTCTCTGCCCCTCATCATAGCTAAATGATCCAGAGGGTAGACATTGCCCAATAGGACCAGTTAGACTGTTCTGAGAACTTGAAGTTGGTAGTCCAGAAGTCATTAGCACTGGATTGTTCATGACAGTTTTCTGGAGAGACACTCCGTGCCCCCCCCCCCCACCCCCCCCACCCCCGGCTGTGGACATCCCCACAGTGGCCCTGACTTCTCCCAGTTTTACTTGCTGTTTCCTGAGATAACGTTCTCGTGCATTTCCCTTTTGTGTAAACCGGCTGGGGTTTATTTCTGATGGTTGCAACCAAAAGAACTGGACGGTGTGCAGTCACATGAGAAATGTAGGACACAGTCTGTTTCAGTTAGCTCTGGCTACGTAATTTACCAACCCAAAACTCAGTGGTTTAAAACAACTAAAATGTACCATCTCTCACATTTCTGTGGGTTAACTAGCAGCCCCCCTCTGCTGGTGTAGACTCGCTCACACGGTTGCATTCAGCTAGAAGAGGAGCGGGGCAGGAAGGTTCAGGATGGCCCACTCACATGCCTGGCAGTGGCTGGCTACCGGCGAGAGAGAAACATCGACGTGAAGGGACACATCGAGTGGCTGCCACCCGCACGACCAACCAGGGCCGGGGACAAACTGCAACCGAAGTACGTGCCCTTAGCGGGAACCAAACCCGGGTCTCTCCGGACCGCAGGCCGACGCTCTAACCACTGAGCCAAACCGGCCAGGGCCCGGCTGGGCTGTCTTGATCTCCTGTCTGTGGGATTGTCCTCCAGAAACTAGCCTGGTGTCTTCACTGGCCCACTCTTCTGAGAGGGTAATAACAGAAGCTGGAAGGTGTCTGAAGGTCATAGACATTTCTTCTGCTGCATCTAAGGCTCAAATACATGGGTGAGTGAAAGTTAAGTTTACAATTGTATGTGAAACAGTTCATTCTTGTATTATTATTTATTAACTACTGTATTATTTTCCATAGGAACAACTGTAAACCTACTACTGCCCACCCCTGTAAGTCACAAGGCTAGCCCAGAATCAACGAGAGAGAGCGAGAGAGAGAGAGAAACTCTACCTCTGAACAAGAGGAGCAGCAGCAACTTACATTGCAAAGAGGCACGCACACTGGATGGAGGAATATGTGGCCATATTACAATCACACAACCACACACACAATAAGTATACAAGGTATGATACCATGTGTTGTATAATTAAAAATAGGATTATGGATGCTTTGTTTTACTTTTCCCTATTTTGCACAATTAAGTGTATTACTTTTTTAAAGTGCTATTACTAGTCAGAGCTCATCCACTTGGAAGTGACATAGACCCAATTCAGTCAATTTACATAGTTAGGCTGGTTATTGGCTTTGGCAGAGCTAGGCCCTGGGATCTAGTCGCTGTCACTGGGACTCATTCCTTCTTTCTGTCTGAGCTCTGCCTTCCTCCTGGGGGGTAGTTCTTCTTCTCCCACTGCAAATGGACTTTGTCCACACAGCTGGAGGAAATGCTGGTTGTAGCCCCAAGCTTATGTTTTCTTAGCTGAAGACCACCAGCAAAAGAAAACTTGGCATTCCAGTGATAAAGATTCTGTCACATGCTTAGCTGTTGTCAGGGGTAGGAGGTGATTTGATTGTTCAGCCTGAGTCACATGCCCATTCCTGTAGGTGAGGATAGGGTAGGAGGCCGAGATTGGCAGCCCCATGAGGACCACGGGAACGGGGAAGGACGGCTCCCCAGAAGGAGTAGGCGGATAAAACATATGCCCATCTATATATTTGTGTTAAATAAGAACAGGATGCGAAAGGCCTAATTAGACAGCACTTAAGGGAGGAAAAACCCTCTGGGATATAGTTGATCATAAGTGAGGTATAGCTGTTAAGAAATCAAATACAATCATAACCTATATCCACCAAACTGCAGCCTATATCAGAGGAGGTCAACCTCTCTCTAAGAATTCTCTGTTCACCCTGGCCAGTTTGGCTCAATGCTTAGAGCATCAGCCTGTGGACCAAAGAGTCTCAGGTTCAATTCAGGTCGAGAGCATATACCTCGGTTGCGGTTCAATCCCTACTGCTGTTGATTTGTTCTGCAGATAGAATCAGGACCAGTGAGCAGAGATTACAAAATATAACTGTGGCAAATGTCACGGACCTGGAAATTGTTTCTTTCGCAAGTAGGAAATTTAGGTATGTCCTAAGGGGCATAGAGAGGCTGGAAATGGGCAGGCACCAAAGGGACCCCAGAGGCCAGGCATCACGGGCCTCCTGCCCCCCCCCCCCTTGGTAGAAGGAGCCCGTGGAAGGGCCTCTCCATGGGGGAGACTGAGACACCACTAGAAGGAAAATCTGACACTGGCCTCCTGAAAGATCACCAAAACCAGGTGTCTGCTCCACAGGCATGCAGATGCGGTGTAAGAAAACCTGCTGTCGACAGGTCTGCGATGGCAGCCCCACAGAGGGATGCCGCAGGCTGTTCCCCACCTCCAGGGGGTGCAGCTGAACTTCCTGCTCCCTGCTCTCCAGGGCCTCCCCGCTGAGCCTGGTCGTCACGCCCTCCCTCGGGGTGCCGGGGTGCCGCACCATCCTATGCCAATAACCTCGTCCTTCCAGCCAGGAAGGCCTTCTTCCGGGTTTCCTCGCCTCGACTGGTCCTTCTTTCTCAGGTGTTCTCCATGCCACGTGCTCGCTCCCACATCTGATTCCTCCACAGGGGCTCCCGCCCCGTGCGTCTGCGCTGTGCTGCTGCCTCTCTCTCTGTCTCCGGACACAAGCAAACTCAGGGGGCCCTAGCCACTCGATCTTTCTTATTAATCCACCTCCCAGTGTAATCGCTAAAGAGGCTATACATTTCTCCCGGTCTCCCTTGCAACTAGAGTGCAGTCATGAAAGCTAAACTCTTAGAATCAGGGTCTACTTGAACCAGAAGAGGGACCAGAGGACCTCCCGGAGCAGCAGTGGCCACCGTCCTTAGGCAGCCGGAGCCGGGGCTTTAGAAACAAGCCGCAGCCTGGTACCCCAGGGGAGAAGCTGTCTCTGGGTCTCTTCCTCGCAGAGCCCCAAACCTGCTTTTTCAGAGCTTCTGGAAGCCACCCAAGCAACTTTTAAACATGTGTCTTTTCTCCTAAAATTAGCATAGTTGATTTCCCTGACTAGCATTTAAGCATTTTAATACACTGGGCTGCTGACTCGTTCCTCCTCTCTGGTATGCTCCCCAGTTTCCTTGGCAGCTTCCTATTCCTCCTCCTCCTGCTTTGCAAAGGAAGGTCCTCCCCCATTCTCTCTTCTCCCCTCTCACACCACCTCTGGCTCACAGCCAGTGGTCCCCTCTGTGTACCATGGCACAGTACCTCCAGGCCCTCCCCTCCCCACGGGCTCAGACCCCCTGGCCATTATCCCCTGTGCACAGCTTGCCAACACCTCAACCCAGGGTTCAAATCTACCATCTTGCTCCCCCACCAACCCTTATTTCTGGATTCCCCATTTCTGTC